TCTTTTAAGTGAGGATACGTAGGCACAAGGGCCACAATCCTTGGCGAGCACTCTCATAAAAAGCCCAACCCCTATTTTCCTTTAAGCAAGCAAACTTTTAGATTAAAAACACCCATTTAAGCTAAACAACTTAGAAGGTTCCCATCGAATACGATGGATGTGAGGGGTGCTAATACCTTTCCCTCAAATAACCGACTCCCAAACCCTCAAACTTGGTTGCGATGACCATGTTCTTTCCTTAAAGGTTTTATCGTTATTTCCCTTTCCCTCCTTGGGATAAATAAAATCCGGTGGCGGCTCTGTGTCATTTTTCGCGTAGCAACAACATGGATGATGGATTTGATGTTGTAGACAAACCACCTAGAAGGGTTAAGTAGATAACAAGGAAACACAAAATTAGTCTAACAAAGATAAGAAATGTTGATGCCACTAGGGGTTCATCAAGTGGGGTTAGTGTTGGAAATGAAGGGCTTGAAACTAATTATTTAAGTGATGATCTAGGAAGTACTAATCCTGATGCCTCAGGTAAAGAGAAAGGACCAAAATATCCTAGGTTTAAGATGGAGGAGTTAGCAAAGAACTACAAATTCAAAGTTGGTTTCGAGTTTGTATCTCTGCATGAATTTAAGGAGGCAATAATTGAATGGTCAGTGTTAAATGGAAGACAAATAAAGTATGTGAAAAATGACAAGGTTAGAGTGAGAGTAGTTTGCAAGGGCAATTGTTGGTGTTTGGCTCTTGTTAGTAAAGTGGGGAATAAACACACGTTTAGAATGAAGAAATGGTTTGGTGCTCACACGTGTGATGGGTTTTGAATAACACCATTGCTAACTCCAAGTGGATTACGAAGATTGTGGCAGATAGGATATCTTCATCTAATGGAATCAAAATTCGTGATATTGTCTCTGAGATTAGGAGTACTTACTATGTAGCTATATCTATGAACAAGCCATGGAAGGCTAAGCAAATTGCAAAAGCTTTGGTTGAAGGTGGTATAACAAAGCATATACACTATTATGGAGGTATGCTGCAAAATTAATGAGGGTCAATGTAGGGAACATCTGCAAATTTAATGTCACCAGAGTTGCTCCAACAGTTCAACCCAGATTTGGCTATTTTTGTTTTTTCTTTGATGGAGTAAAGAAGTGATTCACTACTACTTGCAGGCCATTCATTGGTGTTGACAGATGATCACCTCAAGATAAAATATGGAGGCATATTGCTTGTTGTTGTTGGAAGCGACCCTAACGACCAATATTACCCCTTGGCTTTTGGTGTACGTGAGACTGAGACAAAGGAGTCATGGAGGTGGTTCCTGATCTTGCTTTTGGAACACATTGGACAAGACAAAAGATGGGTATTCATATCAGACCAGCAAGAGATACTTTTCAGATCTATTTTTTTTTTAAAATTCATCCTTAAGTTATGTAATTATGTTTTGATTTGGTCCCTGAATATGTCAGTTTGTTTTGAACTAGGTCTCTGAATATGTCAATTTATTTTAAATTCATCCCTAAGTTATGTAATTGTGGATTCCATCTGTGTATTATTTATGTTTGCTTGAAATAGGTCCCTTATTTTATTGTTTATTTTGATTTGAAGGGCTTAATTCCTGTATTTGAGGAGATGTTTGAGAGGGTGGAGCATAAGCTTTGTCTTAGGCATTTATATGCCAATTTCAAAAAGAAGTTTGGTGGTGGCACACAGATCAGGGACTTGATGATGGCTGCAACAAAGGCCACATATATACAAGCATGGGAAGCAAAGATGAAAGAGTTGAAGGTGTTTAATCCTAAGGCTTGTGAGTGGTTGATCAAAATACCTACAAAATCATGGTGTAAGCATGCTTTCTCATTTTATCCCAAATGTAATGCACTAATGAATAATGTCTCTGAAGCTTTTAATAGGACAATACTAGTGGCTAGGGATAAACCAATCTTAACCATGTGTGAATGGATAATAAACTACCTTATGAATAGAAATTCTAAATTAAGAGAAAAGTTGATAGGTGGGAACATAGGATAATGCCAAGACCTAGAATTAGGTTAGATAAAGAGTTAGAAAATGCTAGTAATTGGATTCTAAACTGGTGTTGTGATACTACTTGGCAATTTGAACATATCAATAGAAAACATAGCTTCATAGTTGACACTTATAAAAGAACTTGTACCTGTAACTTTTGGGAATTGGTAGGCATACCATGTAGACATGCAGTTACTGCCTTAGGCTTTAGAAACTAACACCCTAAAGACTACGTAGATTATTATTATTCTAAAGAAACATATGTGGCATGCTATGATTTCAAAGTTAGCCCAACTGTGGTGTACATGAACATAATGCAAGGAGTTGTTTAATTCAGGTGTCTGACCCTGAAGCTCATAAAAGAAAGGTATTAACTTAACTCAATTATGTATTCTTATTAACTATTTGTAAGTGATATTGATTGAATCACTCTGTGTGCAGAAAAAACCAAAGAAAAATGTTACACAAACAACACAACCTGGATTTGTAGAAGAACAAACAACACATGCTGAAAATGAAGCTTCTACTGAACAACAACAACCTCAACATGAACCTCCAACTGAAGAACATCCAGAAACACAATGCAATGTGGACCAAGAGTTTGAAATGCTTGCAGTAGATCTTTAAGCAGCTTCCGAAAGGACACAACCTCAACCGAATGTCAATGATCTCACTTCCCAAATTCCAGCTCCAACTCAAGTTGCTAGTGACCATGCTTCAACTGTTGAGGTTGCATTTGTAATGGTTTCACAAGGGGTTGGTGACTCACAACCAAACTACATTCTCTCTTCACCTGTTCAAGAGGTTGAGCCTAAACCTAATGAATCTGTTCATGCACCTCCTCCTAAGGAACCTGTTTCTGCGCCTCCTAAATCAGTTGAGTCTGCTACTGACTAATTGACTTAATGTGTATGCTCTCAGATTTATTGATATTGGCCTAATTGTATTTGTTTCTGTTGTGTCTTTGTAGGAAAAATAACCCAAACAAAAGGCCGCAATGAAGTTGGAGTCGAGGAAAAGTGATAGAGCAAGGGTACTTAGATGCAAAAAGCTCAAGGGAGAAGGAAGTAACCCTGCTCAAGGGAGAAGGAAGTAACCCTACACAAGGGCACCATGGAAATTGTAGACATTGGACCTGTTTTGACTTATGTTTTTTTGAAAAACATTACTACAATGGTGTACTTAAGCCTTGTTGTTTTCTATTATATATTTTGATTACAATACTACTTTGGCTTTAGCTTTAGAGTTTGAATCTTTATGTTTTGGATACAAGCATGTATTTTGCCTTAAGCCTTTATGTTTATGATACAATGTGTATTTTGGATACATTATCAAGTTTGTTTTATGTACTTTATCAAGTTATTTTATGCACAATTGAAATGGCCTATTACCAATTTGACTTTTATGCAAATTATCAAGTTTGGTTTATGCACAATTCAAAATAGAAGAAGCAATATAATTGCATACATATACTGTCCAAAAGCAAAACATCTTTTTCATTCATCATATGGTACAGGGGTCAAACTCAAAATACATTAATGTTATAAGGACTAAAAACAAAAAACAGAAACAGACACAAACAAATGAGATTCACCACCATTTGTAATAAGCAAAGAAGAACCCCCATGACACAACCAACACTAACTTCAAGAGAATCGCTTTTCCCTTCTTCTTCTCCAACTTAATCTTCATCTTTACCTTTTTGCCAATCTCAATCTCCTTAACAATGGACCCTAAATCCTTCAACATTTTCGAGCAGTTGCAACCACTTGAACTTCTAAGATCACTAGCTGGATTTCGTTCAAGGTCATCATCCCAAATGAACAATTTGCAACCAGACATTAACCCTGAATTTTGACACTCCCAAAATTTTCTTTTAGAGTTTTCAACAGAGTTTGACACAAACATTTTCATGCTTCTATTGCAACCACAAACCGGTGCTTGAACGTGATGAGAGTTGGCAGACCAAGCAGAAGTCATGGATGTTGAAGGTGCAGAGAGGAACAACAAGAAGCAAATGACGAAGACGGATGGAAAGAGAAGAAAAGAAAAATGTATTTTTTTTATTTGGTCCCTCTTTAATAAACTATAAACACTATTTTCACGTGTGTTACAGATAAAAATAAAATAAATGCCGAAACATAATCTAGGTCATCACTGTTTGCCAACTCAGCTTTTTTTTAACGTTCCGTTGACAACAGTGAATCCAACGAGAATCGGACATATGGGAACTTGAAAAAAAAAGATTCCAGGACGAAAACAAAAAAACACGTTATCCTACCGAGATAAAAATACTATTTAAGTCTTAAAATATTGATATACGAAAACACTCTAAATTTTAATATTCGAACTAATCTTTTAAGTATTATAGATATTATAGAAACTCGAGTTTGGATGAATTCATATTTTAAAATCCGGACATTGATTTGGCAAAATTATAAAAGAGTTTGACATTTTTGAGTGCATCCTAATATTAAATTTTTGAATTTGAGTGCTTTAAAGAATATTCACGAGTGAGCACGCGTAGAATACATAGCGAAGAGCAATACCCTTTGATATAGGAGTAACAGTACAAAAGGGAATACAGATGAGACATGAATCATGGAAATATCTTCAAAATCATTGTTTCAATTATAATAATGAGTGAAAAAGAAGCCAAACATATTACATGAATAATGATTCTTCTGGTCATCATATATGGTGCCAAAAAACAATGGAACAGCCTTTATCCCTCCCAACCACATTATTTGTTACTTAGATTAGATGAATTGTTTTCATAAGCAAAAGCTACTGGCTAATTTGTTAAAGAAACTCAAGAAAATTTACATACATGATTTGCACCACCTCTCTTATTTATCATACAATTATTTAGTTATTATCACTTGCTACAATGATTGGTTGGCAAAACATGGTTTTAAACTACGGCCGCGGATGTAGATATACTCGAACCTCTTGCGGTTGCGGTTCACAATTTAAAATTATTCTTGTTTGACTTCTGAGGCCACAGTTTTAGCCCAAAACCTAAGATGTTTCTTCATATTATCAGATGAACAAGTCTTTGGAACTTTCATGCTTAGTAATGGTGAATCAGGCTTCTTTATAAGCCATGCCTCTGATAAATATGGTCTCGTGATATCTCTCTTTTCATCTTCATAAACTTCAACAACAATATCATCATGGTTTTCTATTGCATCATTCATTATTATTTGCGACACTGAGTGTTTCTGTTTGTTATTTTGGAATGAACAAAGTCTCTGCAAGCCAGGAACAACACTAATCATTCTTGGACTAATGTATTCCTTCTTGAATATAAAACCAAGATCCATAAAACCCTTCACTTCATCAAGTTCAAGTTCCCCATGTGTCTTACAGCTCATGGTTTTTTGCAGTTTATCCTTTTTCCTCGAGTTTCCGTGACGGTTTCGAGTCGTTGGTAACGATGAACATGATAAATGTGAACAATCCAAATCACTCATTTGGTTTAATATTTCCTTCATTTCTTCTTTGTTTTCAGTTGAACCATCCTTGTAAAAGTAAAAAAAACAAAATAAACAAAACAAAACAAAAAAACATAATCATGAGTTCATAGATTATAGTACTAACTTACTAAGTGTTTTATTTTATAATAATATTATATGTACCTGAATTGGTAAAGAGATTATTGAAACTTGTTTCTCTGAAGAAAGTGATTCATCTGTTGAAGTTTCTTCATCGAGTAGAGGTATCAAAGAAAGAATAGATGACGAAGAGGAAGAAGATTCTGATATAGGAACATGTTTTTCAACATGTTTTGCTACAAATGGTGTTGCTGTTGGTTGTGAGAAAAGAATGATTTGGTGAAACCAAAGCTTATCCATTTCTTCTATAATGCTTAAAGAATATCTATCTTCCATTGAATGAGATTAAGCAAAAACTAAAAACTTGTCGGTAGATGAATGAAAAGAAAGAGAAGTGAGTGAAGGAAAATGAACATGGAGATGTTAGTGTGGGACACTAAGGTTGTGGTCACATTTGACATGGGACATGTTCTTCCACATCTTGTAACTATAAAATGACTATTTTATCCATGAGTCTAATTATGAGAATATGATGCTCTTTTATCTCATGCATGTCAAAATCATATGCTAGAATAAGTAAGGTTCATGACTTTATCAGAAACAAAGAGTAAGGAATAAGGTAAGGACCTAAAATGAATTGTTTGACATATGTAAAATCCAAAAGTTTCTATAAATTTGTAAAAAAAACAGCAATTATGTGAATGAATGAATGGATCCAAATATGGACTAGAGCATCTTAATATTACAGTTGTCAGTGAGACAAAATCTGGTTTGCAAACTGATTAAAATTCTTCAATTAAAGTTAGGATATGCATGATTGGTTTTCTCCTCAGAAACCAAAACCATTTATTGGTTATGGGCTTAATCAAATAATAGTGACAAAAAGTTTAGTGCTACAAGGATTGTTTTTATTTTTTTTTGGATATTATAGCTTAATTTCTTGTGCAGCTGTATACAGTAATTTTTACTATATCAATATCAGAAATCAATTCAAGGATGATGTAGTCCTTTATAAGATATTATGTATTCGTATATGTGTTAGTGATGTTTAAAGAAATTTATTTTTGATTCTCATTGTTTTGATGTTATAACCTCTATTATAAGTTAATTTAGTGGATAAGATTAGAGTGACTATGTAATGTGAAAGAGAGTTACAAAATAAGGCTACCAACAATAATTGCCATTTTATTAATCATAAAGTGGCCATGTTGAAAAGGGACATCCTTAATGCACAATCACAAACAAACAGAATGAAAAAAAAAAAACACATGTGTTACATATGCACAAAAATTGAAATCAAACTAAGATTGAGATGTTGAAGTTATGGCTAAGATTTTAAGTTAATTTTAGAACAATGTATGAAGACAGATTCAGAGATTAAAAGTATGTCTAAGATTTTTTATGTCAATGTAGTTGGTTGTTTAATGTATGCTAAGGTTTGTATTAGATCGGATTTGACACAAACAGTTAGTCAAGTGTTCAAGTTCATGTTCAAGCCAAAGAAGCAATATTGAGAAGCAGTCAAGTGGATCCTAAGGTACTTGAAAGGTACAACGGATTGTGGTATCATGTTCAACACGGAGCAAATGTGTTCCATCAGCTGTGGGATATGTGAATTCTTACTATGTAGGTGATCTGGATAATGGGAGGTCTACAACAACGTATGTTCTTACTCTTGCGGGAGGGAGGCTATATGCTGAAAATCATCAATTCAATCTATAGCAACTATGTCTACAAATGAGGCATAATACATGATAGTAGCTCAAGCTGCCAAGGAAGCATTGTGACTTACAGGGTTAGTGAAAGAGTTAGGCCTTGAGAAAGGCGGAGTTCAACTGCATTTTGATAGTTAGAGTGATATCTATTTGACGAATAATCAGGTGTATCATGCTAGGACCAAACATATTGATGTTATGATCCATAAGATCATATAGTTGGTGGCGTCTAGAAAAATATTACTTCAGAAGGTTCACACTTTAGAGAATACAACTAATATGTTGACCAAATCAGTCACCAGTGATAAGTTCAAACATTGTTTGGACTTGTTACATATTTTTCAGTGTTAAGCAGAAAAGACACACCCCTAGTTGCTAGGGTATGATATTATGCAGTTAATCTTCATAGAGGTTTGATATTCACCAAGGTGGAGATTGTTGAGTTTGCCTCATAGGTAATGTCAAGTGACCTAACTGTTTATTGGGGTTGCAAAAGGGGTGTAGTTTTCCCCCGCGGTACGGTTTAGGGGTATTGTTGTAATTTGGATAATTAGTATCCATATATATGCTTGTAACACTGAAACTCTAATAAGTCTAATTCAGAATGAATCAATAAGATAGAACTATAGGTGCTCTATAGTCGTAGACTTGGACATTTTGTCTGAACTGCGTGAATAAATCTTTTGTGTATTTCTCTCTACTGTGATATGTATTCGTGTAACTATTTCAACATAAAGTATGTGTACAATATAGTGTTAGGGATAAGGATGGGCATAATATCCCAAATTTATAAAAGTTGCAACAATGCTGCCACATAAATGACTCATAGCTGCCACAAGGGTGTGTTATCTCCCATGTGATTTGTACTATCATAATACATCTACGATAAAAGAGGTTAAAAAAATGACAGAAGTTGTGACGGTTATAAAGTATTATTATTCTGATTTGAATCGCCATAATTTACCAAAATGGCATTTTCAAAACGGTTGATTTCAATCGCCACACAAACCGCCACCATATACTTAAGTATAAAATGACAGTTTTTATTTGTAAATAGCAACAGTTTTGACATCTACAATTTTCATTAGTTTTCTTTAAAAATATAGCAATTTCTGGTGGTTATAATCACCATAATTTTCACATTAAAAAAAAAATAAGTATGCAATATTTATAGTCCAAGATGTATTATCTTCAAATTTATAGAATCAGATATAAGAAACTTTTTATATATAATCTACTTCATGCAATATATGATCCTATTGCTTCTCCCACCAATGTTACATATGCAACATCATCACTTATAGGTAATAACACATTTTCCTTTGTTATGTGTCGGCCAAAGACCTAGAATCCACCGGTCCGTGTCGGCCATGATTTGGGACCCTCTCGTCTACATCGACCAAATACTTAAATCCATTACTCCTCGTCGTCCAAAGATCAATAGCCCGAGGCTCATTGTCTATCCTACTTTGCCAGACCCAACATATAAATACCTTTGTAAGAGGTTGCAAGGTACACAATCTTTAATCTTTACATTCACTATCTTCAATCTTGAACCCTAATTGACTTGGACATTGGAGTGCTAACCATGCAGGTACCCTCCTAGGTCCACCGTATCAGAGACGACAACACTGTTAACATCATCGCATCAACACTGATACAACTAGTTCAAGAATCACCATGATCTCAACTTCTGAACCATAACCTCATAACAATGTGGTGCATCTGAAGCTTTGCTCCGTTGTAATTTCTGTAATCATCACCATTTCTAGTTCCGCAATGGAACAGTGGCCCCGTTTGTAGGAATTGACATCAGATTCCTACGATTTCTAAGATGTAACATTCAATTCTTAGATCTGAATGTTGAAGAGATCTTCGATGAAGAAATTGAAGTATCACAAAGCCGAAATTGGAGATATGTGTATTTGGATCCATGGAACTCCAATCCAATGTCGAGCAAGCACTTACGTTGATTCCAAGCCACCTTAGAACGATGTCAATGAAAGCATCATATCAAATATTTTGTTCGGAGACGTCTTGGTCGACCAACAAAATTAACCTCGATGTTGGGAGAAGTCGGTTGAGGCACACTCTCATACCCGGGTTCAGATTCGCAAGTTGTGAATCGTTTGGGGTCCGTGACAACGTCGGGCGAGAAAAACCACGGGTACAATCTCACTTGGCACATGTCCCGGTATCACCAAAATTTGGGGAAAAGTTTGTCTCGGATGCGAACGAGGTCAAAAGGAATCACCCCCAAGACGAATGTCGAGTCCAACACCACCCCGGGAAACTAGCGCCAGGTAAATCATCATTGCAAACCTCTTCATCTGGCCCTGGTATCATTGGAGAAAGTAGGGTTACGGAGCTGACCACCATCCGATATCCTATAGTGGACAATTCGAGAGATAAGTCATGACCCAGGTCTACCACCCCTAAGAAGTTGCGACATATCCAAACTACAGGTCACCGCCAAGAAGACAATTACTCGGTGTTACCAAAAAATGAACGAGGCATGCGGCGTGACCTTAGAAATAACTTACAAAGATGGGTGCCGGATGAACTATCATCAGACACAGTGCGATCCAAAGGCCCAGATCTCCAGAACTAGCCAAGTACCAAGCCACCTGAAATACCACATCCAAAGGAAGCACCCGATATACACTTGTGTTCGGCAGAAAGATTTTATTGATGTATTTGTATATTGATTATATAGTAATGAAATTATATATGTGTGTATGTGTATGTGTGTGTGCGCGCGCGCTCGCAGGTGTGGGTACATGTGCGTGTGTGTGTTATTATTACACTCTGGTTGTTCTTTTCTCTATCTTGTCCCCTTATTTAGGGAACTAAAATGCATATTTACACTGCAGCAAACCAGGGAACGACCGATACAGTTGATGTTCGTCTATGGAACTCAGGTGTATTGTCAGACATGCTTCGAGCGTCCGACTATAGCAATCAAAACCCCCTGGCACCTTGCTTACACAAGGTCAGGGGTGTTGTCAGATATGCTTCAAGCGCCTGGCTACAAAAATCAATTCTCTGTAGCACCTTGTGCGTCTTTAGAGGTTAATGTTACTGTCGGATGTGGTTCGAATGCCCGACTACAACAATCAATTTCCTATATCGCCTTGTACGCCTTTAGAGGTTTGGGGTGTTGTTGGATACACTTCGAACGCTCGACTATAGCAATCAATTCTCCACAGCGTCTTCCACGCCTTTAGAATATAGGGGAGCTGTCAGATATGCTCTGCACGTTCGACTACAACAACCAATTCCTCCAATGTGCTATTGGAGACACTTTACACGTCTGAATTACAATATTTAAATACCTCATATCAAAGACATACACGCTTTCATGCGTAGCTGGAGAACCCCTCCTCTGGATCTAGCCAATCTAAGGGCGAGTGTGATGAAGCCTAGAGATGTCCACCTCAATCTGAGGCATAGCCTCAGGACAGGGACGAGGATCGTTTACCTTTGATAAGGTAAGATCCTCTGTGACACGGAATGAAGTTCAAAGCATGGTCGTATTTAGTCGGCTTCACGCCCTTCATCTGTAAGTATAATTCAAAACACCCCAACTCCCCCACGACTAATCAAACTTGTACCTTATCC